TATAATATACAGTGAAATAACATCTGAGTCCTCAAGAATGGCAACATATGGGGGGTATCATGGGCGAAACAGTATACTCTGTTATGTCCATGGTACTGCTCATGTATATAGGCGACGGTTACCACTTTACATCAGGTGGACTGTCAGCTTGTTTGCTATTCTAAGTTGTATAAAAAAAAAGTTTATATTGCCCATATACATCTTGCCTGTGTTGACGTGCAAATATTAACAATATAAAAAAATTAAATACATATTCTACGTTATATTTCTGTTAACTATTTGTAACATATAATCCTTTATTTTAATTTATTACAGTAAACAGATATTATAAACTTGTACAATAGTTGTCCAAATTAATATATTATTTAAACAAACATTATGATTCATGTATAACCTGCTTTTTTTGAAGTTGGTTCAAAAATGTAAGCACCAATTGTATCTCTAGTATAAGTACAAGTACATGGATTTTTTTAGTGAAATATGAATGGTATAAAAACTATTATATAACAGCCAATCCTGAGGGGAAGGGATTGTTAGTAATGGGGTCTAATAGCCCTACTGCCAACGATGTACTCTATCAGGTCGATCTTCACGCAGTTCCCCTTCGAAATCACCGTGGCTATTGTCGTGGAATTCTTCACGATGAGCTAACTGACCTGCTTTCATCCTCACCTGTCATCTCTCACTGGTGCCCCGCCAATGTATACCGTTAGCGCAGGCGGAGTTATTATTATCAGCCATTAAAAAAAATCAGCCAATCCTCGAGTTGGAGTTCATCATCACGATTTAAAAATATGATGACTAATGACATCCCAAACTTTCAAATAAAGCATTGTCAAAGTTAATAACTTCGTCTGCTTTGCGTGTCCAATGACTTTTATATCTACCATCGCGAAATTAGGTCGACAGAACTAGACCTGGCCGTAAAACTTTCTGAAAGATCCAACACTCGATAACATGCGAAGGATACAACATTTGTACTTGTTTCGTACTTGGAATTGGTATAATAAAATAATTATGGTGTTTATTTAGGATATCAAAATATAATATGTGTATACTACTTATACGCCACGGTGGTTTCCAAGGGGAACTGCGTTAGAGTACATTGTAACCAAATATGTCTTACATTCATAAAATGTAAGATATATTTGGTTACTTCATCATTATAGCAGCTGTTAGCTGTCCACGGCTGAACATAGGTCTAGGTCTCCCCTTTTGGAGTTTTTTTGCCAGTAATTGCTACGTTTGGCAAGCGGGTTGGCAACTGTAGTTAGCTTTTTTTTTCTTTATTAAAGGTATACACAACAGGTTACAATCAATAACATTATATATATTATATAAAGAAAACAGATTGAACTAGATTGAGACCCAGACAGGTGTACACACAGCATGGTTAAAGCAGTCGGCAAACAGTGTTAAATTATAAAGTTATATGACAACGAAGTACATGCAAATAATAAAAATACATAAAACAATGGACATGTCAAAGAGACTTGATGGCTGTTTGTAAAATGTTTTGGAAGGTGTTTAGACGTGAGTTGAAGATATCAATTTGAGGACATTTAGCGGAAAATTCATTAAAAGTACGACACATACGGATGAGCGGGTTATAATACGATGTATTGTTCTTATAAAGGCAAATGTTTTAGAACTGCGTGTTACAGTTTTTATATTGAAGGTCAAAGCAGAGAGTAGAGATTTGTTGATGTTCTAAGAAGGACATTGTTGCTCAAACTTCGAATATTAAGGTATTATTATTATTCAGTCGCCTAAACACCAAAATTTTTTAACGTAAAAAGAAAGTTGAAACAAGCGTTATATATTTGACGATCAATAATATTTTATTATAAAAATAAATATTAGCATCCGAGAATTTGTACAATTACAAGATATTATTTTATTACCATTAAAAAGGTGTTTTTTACGGAGTCAAATTCGGCTTTTGTCAGAACAAAATAAAAAAAAAAAAACAGTAACAATTTTAATGGAATTTAAATTTAACGTAATGGGAATTTTGTTGGGGACCAGTGTTCATTGGATTTTTTAAACCTATACAACACGTAATATATGTAGTATATACACATTTAAATTCATCATTTCACCTCAAGAAAAACATAGATTGTGAAACGACAAATAATTTTATGTTGTCCATAATACTGTATCCAACTGTTACTTAATGGCGAGGGGGATAAAAGGTTTAGTGATGGGGATGTTAGTCCCCATTGTTAGTAATACACCCTATCAGATCGATCTGGAGATTACTTAGAGAAGGATTATTTACTGCATGGATGCCTTCTGTAATTCGAAGTAATCCTTCTGGAAATCATCGTGAATTCTTGATGAATACGTCCCAAATTCTAATGAGTCAAATAACTTCATCCTAATACTTTCATCCTCTACAGGCTGGAGTTTTCGTATACCAAAAAAATTTTTTATATAACTTAGATTGGTAAACGAGCCGACGGTCCACCTGATGGAATGTGGTAACCGTCGCCTGAGACGCCTGAGACATGAGCAGTACCATGGACATAACAGAGTATACTGTTTCGCCCATGATACCCCCATGCGTTGCCATTCCTGAGGACTCAGGTGTTATTCCTCTGTACCCAGTAAATTCACGCCATATCCCACCCTTCAAACCTAAACACATCCATGCAAACACAACTGCTTCACGGTTGAAACACGAATGGGACAGAGGTACCCAAGTAATCGACTTTTGAACAAAGTCTCCCTTTGGTGACGCAGACGGGGTTATCGTTCCATTTTCACCCATCGACTAATATGGGGCATATTTCATGATAAGTCCCTACGTCGAAATAAACCTACGCATGTTCAAATCAATAATGCACTCCACTGATAAAAAAATCTATAAACCACGCAATAGATTATTCACTTTAGGCGGATTATTTACGGAAGTTTTCATAGTACAAAATGTAATAAGGATGCCCTAGAAGCTAAAAATATACGATCCAATAATAATAATTAAAAATTTTACTTCAAATTTCTCAATTCATCTATTTTTTTTTTGTCAGTGTCTTGGTAATTCTGAACTCATAGTACCTACTATTTTTAACAGATTTAAAAAAAAGGAGGTGTTTGATTCTATATTTAAATTAAATTATATTTAATTTCTCTAAGTCTGTCCTTATGATCGATTTGAAAAATTCTTTATCTCTCTGAAAGGATATTACAGATTGATTCCACAGTTATTTTATCAAAATTGGATGAGTAGTATAGTTTTTAAATCAAAATAACTATGATTGGTGTCGGTTTTTTTTTTGTGGAACAAAATCTGAATTATAAATCGTACTTCTGTGTGCAGAATCCTGCCTATTGCGAAGTAAGTTCTATTTACAAACATGTTTCCGTGTTCTAAATTCGAATATTCTAAATCTAATTCAATGAAGCAACGTCCCGTTTATAGGTGTTTCATTATGTTTTAAATTAAGAACAAACAGATTATTTGCTCGATATTAAATTAAGAATATTAAAGTAAGTAATAAGTAGTAGTGTTCATTTATTTACAATGGGAAAGGCAAAGGAAACTAAGCCATACTGTCTGATCTTCAGTAAAGAAATTAGTTAAAGTAACTGTTTTTTTAACGTGGAACATGTACTAATCGTACTTAAATATTGCAATTCATATTAATGTAAAGCCAAACAAAAGGGCGACCACATAAAAATTCAATCTGGATTGCGATTGATAAACGTAATAGCAGCAAATTGCAAATTGTTAAATACATTGCAAAAACTCAAAGACGAACTTAGCGTGTCATCGAGTTTTTCCATCGTACAGGCGTGAAGAATGTAGCGTTAGTTTGCATATACAGTGCCGACCAATTAACTCATTACGCTGACTATGATAAATTGTTTACTAACACGCGATAATTGAAGATCGTGTACGGGTGCTTTTGCGTACAGATTAGATTTTATTAGTTTTCTTATGTGTTATTATTGTGGCCATGCACACTTCAGAAATATCTGATGACAATTTTAAAATCAGAAGCGTAGCTTTCAACTATGAACAAAAAATATGTCTAAAAGTACATATTCTACGCGCTTATTTTACTTGAAAAAAGAAAAGAATTTATTAAAAAAATTACAAATGGATAAAGGCTATGGAAAAACAGCGGTAGGAGGGGGGGGGGTAGTTACGACCACTTCTGAGACAGACCGTTTTACCTCGTCTTCTCAAAAATAAATTTGAATCTTTAGAAAGTTTTAAACTTATTTAAAAGACAAATAAAATGATTATTATTATTCATGGTTTTTTTTTGATGCGTGATAATGGTATGGTAACCCCGCCTGCGCTAACGGGACACGCTGACGGAGCACCAGTGAAGGGTGATAGATGAGAATGAAAACAGGCCAGTTAGCCCATCATGATGAATTCAACAGGAATTAACCATGATAGTTTCCAGGGGGAACCACGAGGAGGTCGACCTTGTATATACCCAATATTGCTGTACTAGCTGCTAGCAATGGGATTTTTAGTCTTCATTACTAACAATCCCTTTCTCCCTTATTCATGGTTGTTATGCGGCTAGGCCTCTTCTGGAAAATAATCACATTATAAATAATTTAAAAAAAAAAAGTAAAACTAATATACAATTATAATGTACAAGTTTGTAAAGATGTTTGTTAACCAGTCATGCTTAAATTGTTGAATGGATTTGAATGAAATTCGGTACATGGTTAAGTTATATTCTAACTTAACACATAGAATACTTTAATACAGATTCACGCGGGCAACGCTACGAGAAACAGCTAGTCTTAAATACACTAATCCCCAATTCCCGATCGAGCATGGGCTTTTTCCATGCGACCATGTAATTTTAGATATAGTAGGTACATTTAAATAAATTCACATAATGTTAACAGAGATTTAAAAGAGTTACTGTTGAGTTCCTTGCGGGATCTTCTCAGCAGATAATAATATTTCTAGTTCTGCAATAGAGGAACAAAGATTTCCGTAAAAAGAAGCTGTTCTCAATTTGCAGCGTTACCTCGGCTTGCCAGTGATGCTGAAGGCGGGCGAGTATTCCCCGAACAACCCGCTCATCCGCGGCGAGAGGAGCTCGGGCGATGTGCTGCTAGGGCTCGGCGAGTACGAACGGAGGCGGAACACGCTGCGCAAGCTGAGGCAGCAGCAGTACAGAGAGTATCTCGACCAGGTGAGCTCGCATTGTATATTTTTATAATGGGTGATAATGGAATGTGTACTCTCTGATGCTTCACGGTATACGCTGGCGGGGCACCAGTGAGGGATGGTAGGTGAGGATGGAAAGGCAGGCTTATTGTGATGAATGCACCAGGAATTCAGCACGATGATTTCCAGGAGGGACCAGGTGGAGGTCGATTTAATGGGGTATGTTGCTAGCAATGGGATTTTTAGACCTCATAACTGACAGTTTTTTTATTTATAAAACTTAGAATGGCAAACAAGCTGACGGCCCACCTGATGGAAAGTGGTAACCGTCGCCTATAGACATGAGCAGTACCATGGACTGACCTAAGTTCATCCTCATTTAACCTCGCTAGTAATCCGTCAGAGTATACCATTAAGCGACGGAGATTTTTTTTACCAGAGGGATACTTTGTACAAAAGTCGATTGTTTCGGTACCTCTGTCCCATTCGTGTTTCAACCGTGAAGCAGTTGTGTTTGCATGGCTGTGTTTCGGTTTGAAGGGTGGGATATGGCAGTGAATTTACATGGTACAGAGGAATAACACCTGAGTCCTCAGGAATGGCAACGCATGGGGGCTATAATGGGCGAAACAGTATACTCTGTTATGTCCAAGGTACTGCTCATGTCTATAGGCGACGGTTACCACTTTCCTTCAGGTGGGCCGTCAGCTTGTTTGCCATTCTAAGTTGTATAAAAAAAATCTCCAAACATTCGTAAATGTTATTATTATTTTTGCTTTAAATTAGGGGAAGAATATATATCCCTTTTGGCAACGTTGGCCACAAAAAAAATACAATTGAATTGAGAATTTGAAGGAAAACCTGATTCATCATGAATGCTTCCAGCAAGCGAAAAAGAAACAAGAGGCCAAAGAAAATGCGGAGAGGGAGCGTCGCGAGCGGGAGGAGAGGGAAAGAGAGCTAGAAGAGAGGGAAAGAGAGCGGGAAGAGAGGCAGAGGGAGAGCGAGACTCTAAACCGACAGCAGTACAACCCGGACACGCGACGAGCCAGTATTTGTTATGGCACAAACGATGCGTATTATTCCAAGTAGGTATTCAATCTGCCATTGAAGTCAGTTCTGAGGTGCTATTGATCTCTAAATCTGCCTCTAAAAATGAAATTTTAATTTAAGGTAACAGCGAAATCTTTATTATAAGGGCCAATATAAACTTATTTTTTAATAGATTTAAGTAATAGTACATTACTGAAGCGGCCAGCAACTGAGGCATTGATGGATGAACGTGCAAATGTAGGCCGAGGCGCAGCCGAGGCACACATACGTGAGTCCATCAATGCCTAGTTGTGGCCAAGGCTTGTATAGTACTTTTCTCAAACAATGCGCGGAAATCAAAAACACAATTTTACTTTTTAAATTCAATGACGAATAACGAACAATAATAATTTTTCAGGCGCCATAATGTTCCTTTGTTTTTTTTTTTTTCAATAAACAGCTTTCTATTTGCAAACCAGTTCGAAATTTAAATAAAACCTTTTATTAGTTACCTCCTTGGTAGCCATGTTTCGAAGTAAAAGGTCATTCCATTTTTAAATTACAGGACAGATATGAGTTTATATAGTAATTTCGCAAAACACGACAGATATGGATTTTCATACAACTTTTGCTGGCCGCTACCCGCATGTATCTGGCCAGTACGCCAATTTTGATTTATCTCGAAGAAGATTGTCAAAATATTGCTCACATTTCCAAGCATGTTTGAGAAAAAAATATTATAACTTTAGTTCATCATATAAATATATATCATAGCAATAAACTAAGTTGTGATATACCCTCTCGGGTCGACCACCACGTGGTTCCTCCTGGAAACCATCACGGTTAATTCTTGTCGACTTAATTATGGTGGGCCAATTGACCTGCATTCATTCTCACCTATCATCTTCCACTGGTGCCTCGTCGGTGTATACCGATAGCATGGGCTAGGTTACCATTCCATTTTCATCTATTAAAAAATATATATACATAGTACGCATATAACAAATTTTATAGTAATTGGTTAAGTATAAGGCGATATATAGTAACAAACTCACTTTCACATTCATCACCAGAGGGAGACTTTGTACAAAAGTCGATTGTTTGGGTACCTCTGTTCCATTCGTGTTTCAACCGTGAAGCAGTTGTATTTGCATGGCTGTGTTTCGGTTTGAAGGGTGGGATATGGCGTGAATTTACTGGGTACAGAGGAATAACACCTGAGTCCTCAGGAATGGCAACGCATGGGGGTATCATGGGCGAAACAGTATACTCTGTTATGTCCATGGTACTGCTCATGTCTATAGGCGACGGTTACCACTTTCCATCAGGTGGACCGTCAGCTTGTTTGCTATTCTAAATCGTATAAAAAAAAAATTCATAATTGTGTTTTATTCAAAATAATTTATATTGGACACATTAAAGGATTTAATATACTATTAGTAGATTATTGTCAAACCCGTTGTTTCCAGTAAAGTGGACACGGGCGTACAAGTGGACAGCATCACGAGCCCGCTCTCAGTCGCCGTACAGACAGAAGATCATGACTTTTTCCATGTGAGTAATTTTTTATATATATAAGTATACAACAGTTTTAGTACCAAGTGTAGTCAATAGATGGCGCTGGTGTGTTTTTACAACGCGATATTGTTTAGTTTCCCTGTAACTACACTTTTTTTATTTGTACTTTAACTTGTTATTCGCCCTGTTATTCTGGGTAGGCAGAGTTTATATATTATTTTTCAATGCATGTCTTACGGTTATACGTGAGAATGCTAGTATAATAACTAGAAAATGATTACTTCTCTTACTTTTTTTGTGAAAACAATACAGGCGATTCGACTTTTAAATTAGGCATAGATAAGTCAACGATTTTTCTTGCGTTAACACAGTAACTCAAGATTTTTTTTATACAATTCAGAATGGCAAACAAGCTGACGGCCCACCTGATGGAAAGTGGTAACCGTCGACTATAGACATGAGCAGTACCATGGACATAATAGAGTATACTGTTTCGCCCATGATACCCCCCCCCCCCATGCGTTGCCACTCCTGAGGACTCAGGTGTTATTCCGCTGTACCCAGTAAATTCACGCTATATCCCAACCTTCAAACCGAAACACAGCCATGCAAACACAACTGCTTCACGGTTGAAACACGCATGGGACAGTGCATTCTACTGCGCCGACTCATTGTGTCAATTCAAAATTGTACTATGACGCACCGGATAAAGTGTTTGGCTATTCTAAGTTGCATAAAAAAAAGTGTATTTTTTTGTGGGTCACCAATCTTGAATTATTTGTGGAACGCAATCTTAACGATATACAGTGTATTTCACAGTTGCCACTGTCCCCGTGTAAGACTCGCTTGACAGAAGCGGAGCGCGAGCTGTCCCCCCGCACAGTGGACGGGCGGGGTGGATGCGGTCCGGGGACAGCCGGCTGGGGGCGGCCGGGGGACAGCAGGCGCCGCAGCTGCGGAGACTACGACAGTAAGTGTAAGCATGCTTCAATTGTGCAATTTTGTAATTTATTATTTGTATTTACAATATAAAAAATAATCACATAATTTTAACATGTATGACATATCTGATAAGTGTCCGGGGTGTGCCATTATGGACAATTCGAATCTCCGGCCTTATTACCGCGTGTTCACTTATTAAGTTAGTACAGGAAGTCGCTTTTGAACTATTTTTTTTTTTTGGGGAAAAATTCTTCGATGAAAAGTCTTGGTGATGGAACATTCTTAGTCATCTTGCGGCATGCTTATGATTTCGAATTTATTTATTTTACACTTTATTGCGTTAATTAAATAATAAATACGGAAAATGTTTAATGCCAAATGATACAAAAGGCGCGTCGTGTCATATCAAGAGGTGAAGAGACTCGCTGAAAATCGTAGTGAGTGGCAAGAGCTCCACCGACAAGAGCGCAGCTCTTAAAAAGATAGAGAGATACAAAAGGCGTCTTTGATGATTTTACTCTGTATAATATTGGTCGTATTTAGATTAGCATATTTTAGATTTATATTTATTTATTTATTTATTTATTTATTCATTAGTACAAATATGTGTACATGGCGAACTTAATGCTAAAAGCATTCTCTCCCAGTCAACCATAGGGAAGTGTCAGAATACTCGAATGCGGTACTACTAATTATTGATATACATACGTACTAAAATTACATATATAAACGAATAAATATATATAAATAACAAATATACTTACACATATATGACATACACTATATTATACACGAAATTGAGAATAATATAAAGTACTTACTGTTCGGATAAAAATAAAAAGTGTGCGTTAACGCTTTTTTTGAAAGACGGTTTAGTCGGTAGTCTCTTAATGGCATCAGGAAGCGCGTTCCAGAGTCGTGAAGAATGTAGGAGAAAAGAGTTTGAAGCGTAACCAGTACGGTGAGAGGGGAAGGATAATTGGAGAGTATTATTGGAACGAAGGTTACGTTCGTGAGTTTCAAAAAGATAATGGAATTTACTCCTTAAGTAGTTAGGAGACTGGGGGTTTCGAAGAAGAGTGTAGAGGGTACAAAGAGTTCTAACGTTTCTGCGTTGACGAATGGAAAGCCACTTGAGCTGAGACCGATATAAAGAAATGTGATCGAATTTGCGGAGGTTGAAGATAAAGCGTATAGCTTGGTTGAGGAGACGGTCCAGCTTATCGAGAAGATCTTCATTAAGATCTGGATAACACACATCAGCATAATCATCATCATATTCATCACCATATCAGCCGTTAACTGTCCACTGCTGAACACAAGCCTCTCCCATAAAGGGAGGTCTTGCAAATAGCATTTGGTGATGTTTTAAGAGGTACGCTGCTGTCCCTCCCTTTAAGTTCCTTTAGTGGAACGTTTTCGTTCTTACGACACCCTCGGGGAAAGGAAGGGATGCCCCATTTTCCGTTGGGTACCACACGGTGATTATTTTTATATCTAATCACCGTGTGGTTAAATTCAAAAAAACATAGATAGGTAGATAGATAATTTATTTACATTACTTACAGCACACAAATTACAATACAAACATACACATAATACACAGTGAAAGAGATAAAAGAATGAAAATAAAAAAAAGCAACAAAAAGAAAAACAAAAAGCGAAATATATAAAACAACAATTTCATATTAAAACTAAAATAAAAATATCTATGTAATTACTCGGTATATCATTAGTTTTTATGCAACCACTTGCATTGTAAATGCAGTTTAGTAAATAAAGTTTATTGCATTGCGTTGCAGCGGGCGGTCGGCTGCGGCGCGAGGGTGGACTGCTGGACGCGGACGCTATACACCGGCGGAACTTGCAGGCCGAGAAGGTGGTATTATTATTTATTTTTTTTTGCACTTTTTTTCTGGATTGTCTATATTTATATTGTATAGAGTAATATTTGGGTGTTTGTAAAATCTACATCGTTATAAGATCGAGTAAACTTAAAGACTACTCGATCTATTTTAAAAGTTCTTTCACCTATAACTCTTTCTGAGTTACCATTCCATTATTATCCAATAAAAAAAAAACTATGTTCCCTATGTATGACTATATCAATGATAAATAATCCTTCATGAAAATTCTAATTAAAAATGTTTATTTGAAAACAGTTTTTTTTTTTTTTATTTTTCTAAAATTGTCATTAAGTTTATTAATTACTAGTTGTTTCTCGTTACTTTTCCCGCGTGCCAAATATTTTTTTTTATCATCTGGAAAATGCTTTATGCAGACCCATACCCCTTGTGGGAGGTGAATGGGTACTGTGGGAATCCCCCCGTAAGGTGGGAGTGTACCCACCAAAAACCAGACGATATGCCCTCGAGGTGCCATATGTCGGAGACATGGGTTCGCTTTCGCACTCACCACATCTCCGACGGCGCGTGCCAAATAAATGCAAATTTTTTTAAAAATGTATGTATGTTTGTTACTCTGTCACGCTTGAACGGATTTGAATTGACTTTGGTACATGGGTAGGTCACAGCTGGTAAGCCATTAACATAATGTTTGTTCAGGAAGCGGCCGAGCGTCGTCTGTTCTACCAACAAGAGCTCAGGAACCAAATCCTGGAGCAACAGAGAATAAAAGAAGAGAGAAAGACGAGAGAGAAGTGAGTAGAGAGAGATATGTCATTACTATATACCATAATGATAGTAACCTACGATCGAGTAGTATAAAATGACGTTTTCAGTTTTTGTTGTCTTAGTTTTCGTACAACGCCATCTAGCGGTGCCAGAAGTAAAATTTGTCATAAATTATCTTTGCAAATTAGTGTAAATTAGGGCGAGTGATGGGCAGCAGTGTCCCTCTTAAAACATTTCTTAAAGCCCAACTGCAATTGCCAACATGCCTGCCAAGTGTGGCAACTACTGGCGAAACTTCCCTTATGAGAACCTCTTATGTCCAGCAGTGGACAGTTAACGGCTGAAATAATAATAATTAGTGTTAAAAATTTAATTAAAAAATATTTATAGTAGAATATGATTTTTGTTCGCTTAAAAATTACAAAATAAAGAAAAAGATATTAAATCGTTCTTTTAAATACTAGATTTTATGTAAATGTTTGAGTGTTTGTTTGTTGGTACATATCTACTTTATGGTAGTAGCTGAGAGTTACTCTTTATTTGTTAAGGCATTTGCGAAAAAAATATCTGTTAATTTCTTTTTACATTGTATGTAGGATGCTAGAGCAAGCAGAGATGCGTCGTCTCGAGGAACAGTTGCGGATGCTGCGACTGGCGCACGAGAGGGAGATAGGGAAGCAACACGAGATTAACAACACTGTAAGTCGAGCTATATGAACTGAAATACCTATAGCAAAATCCATATATAGATACACAATTCCGCGTTTTAAATTAAAATACTTTAACTTTTTATGGATGATAATGGAATGGTAACTCCGCCTGCGCTAACGGTATACGCTGGCGGGACACCAGTGAGGGATGATAGGTGAGAATGAAAAGGCAGGTCAGTTAGCCCATCGTGATGAATACACTTGGAAGTCAGCACGATGGTTTCCAGAAGATACCACGGGGAGGTCGACCTGTTAGAGTACATTGTTAGCAATAGGAGTGGTGATCCGCATTACTAACAATCCCTTCCCCCAACTTAATAATAATAATAATAATAATAATTCTTTATTATCAGGTACTTAGCCCATAGAGGTACAATTGTATTACAACGTGCACGGATAACATATAAAAATATAACAATCAAAACATACAAAAAGAAAAACATAAAAATTAAAATATATGTAGAAAATTTATAATTTATAAAAAGTAAAGTAAATTAAATAATAATACAGCAAGAAGCAAGAGAACATTATTTAATGTTCCTGTCTTGGTGCACGGACAACCAATACTTTTGAATGGGACTGTTCAGACACTGGGACAATGTGCTGAGGATTTCATTCTTTGAATTCCGAATGTGAGCCCAGAAATTTGCTACACGATTTCTTATTATAGCGAAGTAATCATTCACCCTGGACTCCGCAAACATGCCCGACGCACTACAGTATTTCGGAAGCCTCATCAAAATGCGGTATGCATTATTATACTGCACTCTAATGCTGTTCCGCGCACTTTTGGTGCAATTTGTCCAAAGCTGACATGTATAGAAACATTGACAAAATGCTCGAAACAATGTCAACTTCACATCTGGACTGCAACGGGCGAACCTTCGCGCGAGCATGTTGCAACGGACGGCCAGGGCCCTTCGTTCTCGTTCCACATCTCCGTCATCGCGAAGATCCTCTGTCACGATATGTCCCAAGTATCTGAACTGACCCACTCTTTCCACTGCAGCGCCGTCTATAAAAACTGGCGGGATCCTCTCCGGTCCTCTCCCAGACCGAAATACCATCATTTGTGTTTTTTTTACATTGTATTTCAGTCCATGACTCGATGCATAACGTTCACAAATTGCTAACAATTTTCTTAGTCCACTGATAGAGGGACTAAGAAGAACCATATCGTCAGCGTAGCTTATACTATTTAAACAAGTAGTTCCAATATGACAGCCTACTTTGGCGCTCCTTAGTTCCCCTATCAGGTCATTTACATATAAATTAAAGAGGTCCGGTGAGGTCAGCCCTCCTTGACGAACTCCACATTCTAGTCTATGCTCACTAGAGGTGGTGCTGCCCCATTTTACAAAATTTGTCTGTCCACAGTACCAGACCCTCAACAGATTAATAATTCTGTTTGGTACAGCTGATAAATTTAGTTTCTCCCACAATAAATCATAATTTACCAGGTCGAAAGCTCGACTTAAGTCTAAAAAACACGCGTAAACTGACGTACTTCTTTCGACATAATAGTGAACGGCCGATTTAAAACAAAATATAGCTGAATCTGTCGAGAGTCCAGGCCTGAAGCCAAACTGCGCATCATCTATTTTCATACTACGCTGCAGTTCTGGCTGAATTAATCTTTCGAGTATCTTACCAATAATTGTACCTAATGATATGGGTCTATAATTGTTAATATTCGAAGGGTCACTAGTTTTATGTTTCTGAATAGGTACCACTACAGTTTTCATTAGATTCTTAGGCAAATAGGCCGAGTTAATACAAATATTAAATAAGTCAGACAATACATGAAAAATAATTTCACCCGCATGTGCAATGTGCTCCACACTTAGCCCGTCAAATCCTGGAGATTTACCACGTTTCATTGCCCGAACTACTCGAGCAACATCGTCTGAACTAAAATAAAAAAATTCATTGTCCACATTTTCGTTAACCGTACGCGGGCACACCGCAGCACGACATGAACGAGGTTTCACAAGGAAATGGCGCGAAAATAAGTCAGCAATCGATTTGTGATTGTATTCACCCTGTATACTAGCCGGTATACTTGATCCATAATCAAGCCGTCTCGTGCTTCTCCAAAATTTGCCAAAGTTTTTATTCGCTTGGTGCAAGGCTAATATATTCATTTTAATTTGATCCTCATTATTCTGGCACCACCTCAACTTGTTTTTAAAAGCCTTACGAGTATCAACCATATTTTTATAAATATCGCCCGTCACCGGCCTACCACCCAGCACCCAACAGTCAAAATAAATTTTGGCTGTTTGATGTAAACGTTTTACGTGGTAGTTCCAACCTAATATATGTTTGTTCTTTTTCCGTGCACCTCGACTTACATACTTTATTGCACCAACCTGTAGAATTTGTACTATATTATTATAATAATTGTCCAATAAAAATAAATGCTTTTTGCAAAAGTGATTATTACAACAATTGACACATTGACTAGACAATTTAAAATTTTGCAATCTATCATAACAATAGTCAGAGTATAAATTTATTTGCTCAACATTCCTTTCCCCCCAGCGAACACCACACAACACGTCATCTGTATTATCAATTATTATTTTCTTAGCGACAGTACTGAGTTCACACAAAATTATTAGCGGGAGATGGTCCGACCAGTACACACCGTAGTCCACACGAGCCGCCGAGACAGTTTCACGAGCAGCAGCTGTCACCACACAATGGTCCAACCAGCGCCTTGTACCACATCCATCGTTCATATGAGTATAAGTACTATCCTCTAGCAACTCTCGATCAACACACACTAGTGACTGTTCTGAGCAGAATGACAGTAGCTCGTTACCAAACCTAGACACAGGATGTGCATTGTAGTCTCCAAGCACGTAAATAGCCTCCGTTTCTGCGTCATTTATTATCGCCTGTACACTTCCCAAACAGTTAGTAAATTCTAGCAAATTCTCTTCCCTTCCCTCATCATATGGTAGATAAACACATATCACGACAATACTATGCCCATCGACATTAATTTGCACAGCAGCCAGTCTGTCACTAGGGCACTCTATAATAGACACTTTCGAGAAAACAGACTTACGCCACATCAGTGCAACACCTCCATAGGGTCGGCCTTTCAATAACCCAACGGATGTGTCCACAGACGACTTTGCAAAACATCCAAAGTCCCTGTCAATCTCATTCACCAAATTAAGATCATGAGGAAGCAACCATGTTTCCTGCAACGCTAGGATATCAACGCTCTTACACAAATCTCTAATCTGGTTAACAGATCTCTTTATCGATCTACAATTAAAAGTAGCCATGGATATAGATATCTTGTTAGATTTATCCATAAAGTGTGTTATTAGAAGCGGTACGAATCACTCGTTCTCGATAACGTCGAAATACTAATCCTACTGGCCAGAAACTAGAATTTAGGAAGGTATTTATTTTATTACTTGATATTTTAACCTTAAAAGAATTAAATGACGTCTCTCGGTTTTGTTTGAGTAGCTCAACATTAAAGCATTCTTCCCCCATATCCTGAATATGAGCCCTTATATTTGACTCCGTAACAGTTTTTGATGCCCTTGAAATATAAATCGAACACTGTGATTCAGCTACTTGAATTTTAGCCGTATTTTCCAAAGTACCACGCATATTAATAAGTTTTTGTTTACGTTTTTTATATTTAACAACAGTGAATTGCTCACTATTGTTGTTCTCAAGAGTCTCATTAGATGTAGGTATTACCATATTTTTCGACATTAACTGCGCAACCACTCCACACTTCCCAGTCACTGCACTCGCAGGCGATATTGTACCATGTATGCGGTGCCGCTTACGAGCGCTTTTCGTTTGACTCGACAGTGTCCGGTGAACAATATCACGATAGGTCGGTGTATGAACGGTGTCGGCCACGTCCAGCGTGCCGCCGTGCACCGGCGACGGCACAACGACAGGCGGTAGCGGGCGAAGCTCTGCATTAATACTCCTATTTCTCGTCGGAGTCGTCGGGCTGCTATTTATCCTTGTGTCTTTATCTTGCTTATTTATCGTCATTGATAAGTGTAATTCAGTTAACTCGGAGCTAACTTTCGTCTGAAATTCATTTAATTCTGTTCGCATCATAGACATATCTTTCAATAGACGAGTCACATCTACATAGTCAAAGGTTACAGACGGTAGGCGACTTAGGTCTCGCGCAACGAAAATTGGTTGTTTGTCTGGATCCACTTCTTTAAGCACTGTAATGATATCTTTCACATTTTTCTTCTTCTTGTCGTCGCCCTTTCTATGAATGTTCCTGGATCCATTTCCACACGCACAATACAATACATTTTTCCCCGTTTCAATTTCAGAATCTGAATAATTCGAAGCACATATTTGCATGATACTAAGTTCATCCAAAATGTCTATTTTGTTTTGAATAAATGCTAAAAGTTCATTAATTATTATATTATCCGCCATCTCTTAATAACTTAGACCACGCACTCGTACATTATAAAATGTTATTATTCCGCGTATACAAACAATACGTCTACCTTACTACAAAACGTCTAGCGAACTGAGTAGTTAACGTATCTACAATCTCGTTGACGTGTGGTCCCGGCATAGAATAGGCCACCTCTTCCTTTCCTGTGGGTGTCATAAGAGGCGAGTAAGGGGGGAAAGGGATTTGTAGTAAGTATTAGTAAGTAGTAAATATTACCAGCAATATAACCTGTCAGGTCGAACTCCACGTGGTTCCCCCTGGGAACCATCGTGGCTAATTCTAGTTGAGTTCATCAGGATGGGCTAACTGACCGGCTTACATTCTCATCCGTCATCTATCACTGGTGCCCCGCCAATGTATACCGATAGCGCAGACGGGGTTACCATACCATTATCACCCATTAAAAAAAAACAGGCGACTAAGGGGACTTTACGGTTAAGGGATGGAGAGCAGTCTTCCTCTTAAAACGATTAAAAAGTTTGACAACTCGCTTGCGAAACGTGGCAACTACTGGCAAAACCTCCATAATAACGTCTGATACGATGATGAATGTGACTATGTCGTAGTTTATTAGTGTGTGTTCAAAAGACACTCTTTTTTTGTGAAAAAAATGTACTTTTAAACCGACTTCAAAAAGAAGGAAGTTCTCAATTCGGTTGTATTTTTTTTATGTTTTAACAAACATATCTCCTTCACTTGTAAACCGATTTGGAAAACCGATTTTTTTATATGAAAGGATATACTTACAAATTGGACCATAGAAAGGATCAATACTTTAGTTTTAAAATTAAAATAATTTGCCACAGTTAAAGTTGTTTTGTTTTTTTGTGAAACACAATCTTAATTGTTAACTTCACAATTAATTTCAGATGAAAGACGAAGCGTTAGATTTCACGAAAAAACGTTCAGAACTCCAAGATGAGATTGACACTGAACAAAAGCGTTTACTCCGCGCCGTCACGCAGCCCGTCGCCGCCAAACGGAACGTAATCACCTCCAGGAGCGACACAAACCCACCCAAACTGCAATCCTACTACGCACGGGACAAAGAAAAACCATTCTCGACTAACATACCGGACAATTCCATCTTCTCCCCGAACTACGACGTCGACACTTACCTAAGAAGGAATCTTAATTTCAAAGACAACGTTTTAAAGAATCGACTAGATAATGTAAAAAACCGTGGCATAGACATAGAGAGTATTGGCGAGAGAAAGTACAACGAGAAATCAAGAAATTTCGACAAAATACTCGAACGGTCCAAAGATACCGCGAAGAGGAACGTAACGCGTCCGTCCGACATCGAAGATAGTTTGCCCATACCTGTTCTACGACATTCGCCCGTAACACAATCGGATAAAGTCGAAAATACTAATTTGAGTGATGCAATGAAATTAGTCGACGATAAATGGAAAGTGCCTGCTGTACAAAAGAATATATTGAAGTCGTTGCCCAACGACGAAGGTAAGAATATTAGTATATTGACCCAGTTGGGGTCCATAAGGAGGCAACTACAGTTGGAGCAATTGAAACTGGATAGAATGAATAATGATGAGTTTTGATTTCATTCACTCATTCGTTCGTTCTTGTGTACTAAGTAGGGGTAATTAATATACAGCAATATCTATATATTGGTCCAATAACGAATATGTTAAAAGTCTGTTATCCAAAAAATATAGATAACAAACTTTTAACATATTCGAAAATAGATATCAAGACCGAGATATTGACCACAACAGAATAACAGCGTTTTGCTCTTTTTAGGGCAAAGCAAAAAGCTGAGTTGTGGCCATTTTGTATTACTGTGGCACACGCATGAAGAAAAAAAATTGTTACTAATTTTATGCATTCTGATTTTGTTTTTGTTTTTTTATTTTTTGTACATGTAACTTTTTTTTATCTTTTTTCACTTTGCATTTGTGTCTGTTGCTGTCTGTGTGCTGTAAGTAATGCAAATAATACAAGTAGTCATTGGAACGATATAATAAATTCAACAACTTATTCAATTAATAATCTATTTAGTTTTGTAATATTTATATGCGATAGTTACCACATTCCCTCGGCTTATTAGCATGAGTATAAAATGGCGGGTAACATGGATAACTGATTTATTGTAAGCCAAGTAATTTTACTACAAGCGAGATAAAACACAAGCTAGTATATCTACCTGTAATTTATATCTAGAATAAGTTTACTATTGTGATCTTTTGGAGGAAACAATAAAGCGTATCTATCTATCTCTCTCTAATGACGCGCACTCAATGGTATGTGCTTATGAGGACAGGAGCTAATAGATTGGTTACTTTTATTTGTAATGTAGAGTGCCAAAATAAGGTTACCTTAAATTCAGAAAACCTACTATAATATTGTTTTTTTTTTTTTAAATATGTTTATATTACAATTTCTCAATATATTGTTTTAATTTAATTATAGTTATTAAGCATGTATCTTGTTTTTGTATTCTGATTTTTAAAACTGTTTCACTTCTATTAGATTACAGTACTTTTTATGTACAGATAAACATGTAATACCCATTTTATTTTATATAGTTTTGTTATGTTTATAAAAATCAAAGAAATCGTTGCATGTGCATGATATAAACTTACCAAGTTCAGTTTCTAAGGAAATCTTTAATTTTTTTTTTTATATTTAAATTCACACAATCTAACTATATTGTCCATAAATAAAAGTGTCAAATGTTTAATGAAGGTTTCGAAGTATTGAAATTGTTTTGTCTCTTTTGTCTAGCTTAATACTTGGTATACAGAAAGGGACAAAACATTTATAATAGTTATGTTTATATGAAGATTTCTTTTTTATAACTGGATGGAAATGTTAATTTTTTTTTGAAGGTCAGCTTATTCAGAGTAATTATTATTTATGATTATATTCTAAGATGGCCAATTACAGGTGAGGTTGGCTAATCCTAAAAATTAGAAAGTAAATAAATTAAGACAAATTAATTAATATCAGTAGTTAATTAATATAAAAATCTAATTAATATTTAAAGTAATCAACGAATATAATAACTATAATAATAATAATATACGAATGCACTAGTAAGAGAGTTGATACAAACTGTTTTGTCTGAAATTGATACTTTGGTAATCTCTCTCTTGCTGTTATCAATTTTAAATTTTAATATTTTTTAATAATCACCTATCTATACTTACAATTAATGATTGGATTATACCTTTATTATTCTCGTAATATGGTCCACATAATTTGAAATTACCAATAAATTAATTAATATATTATATATTAAATTATATAATAATAAATTATAATAAATGATGATTGAAATTCGGAAAAGGCAAGCAGTATAGCTACTTCGAAATGTGAATAGGAATAAATTAATTATGGAAATCAATTTATTTTTTTCATATTTTTTTACAAAGTACCCATAAGTACTTTTACTTTTTACCCATATAAATTGTCCAATAATAATAATTTTTTGTTCAAAAAGATATGTTATGTAAATAAGTATACGTATTTTAAGAGAATCAACCATTATTGAAATACAAGCAATAAGTGTAAATGCAATCAAACGAATCATACCATAGACAATCTGCTGATGTCCAAAAGTAGTACAAATTAATCTATTAATTTATTTTGTTTTGTTACTCATTTAAAATATATTTCTGTGCTAGTTCTGACAAAACTTAATTACTTTTTTAATTATATTCCATTAAATACACTATAGTTGATTCGTTTAAGTATTAAAAATTCATACACAATTTTAGTATATAGCCCTGATATTTGTAAACCTTAGCATAAAAATATAAAATCTTATTTGAGAAATCAGTTTAGCGTACAATAGGGTTGATCGATATATCTAAAGAAGGTATAGCCCTTAAAATTTATAAAAAAAAAAAGAAATAATAACCACGGTGAAACTAGCTTCATAAACAACTACTAGTAGATACTTTTTCGTCATAAATACATACAGTAGTGCCAAAATTAATCTTCCTTATTAATAAACTGGTACGACATTGAACATTTTCATATACAGGTCGATAATTTGTAGCATACTTTTACAAGATTCTATAAGTGGAACTGAACGTTTCTTCCAATAAAAGATGGATTGAAAAATTAAAAAAAAGTATGTACCTAATAGAAAATCTAGAGTTGGTAGTAGTAAGTAGTACTACTAACTTGACAGCTGTGTGCATCATTGTTTTAATATGAGAATTAAAAATTTTGCCGTTTTCTATCCATTATTTTTTGGATAACAATGTACAGTTTCGTTTGTAGCACGTTCCCTTCAGAGGGTGCTAATAATGTCGACTTTACCTTGCATATGTAAACACACGGTGCACGAATTTAAATTCAAAATGTGTGTAATTTACAATAAATTTATTACCTATTGCTATCATTTTAGATATCAATTTTGACAGCTTCTAGTTGTACTTGAAATAGTTGCAATTTTAAAATTAAGCCTGGAATGTGTCCCAAAAGTCATGTCATGCGTTTTGTAATTGAAAAATCATGTATAGAATAATTAGGAATAATTTTCCTAATAATACATAAAAATTTTAGGTTTCAAACTGGATGTAGTCTATGTCTTAATTTGCAATCTCTTATTATAAAAACGTTAGGAAAGATATTTCATGTACTGTTAAATTTTATTTGTATGAATGGTTTTTTTTTTAAAAACCTAACTTTAGAATTACTTATATCTTTGTCTAAAGAGTTGTTGTCCTAATGTATATTAATTTTGTCGCACATGCATCGTGAATGTTACGCGATATTTTAGTCAATTGTGGACCGATTTTAATTACTCTTTTTAATTTATTATTATTTTTAATAATTGTTCCATACAAATATGTGTAAAATTTGATTGGTCTTATTTAACGCACAATATGAGTTCCAAAAGACTGTGAATGTAATATATAAGTAAGCAGAAAGGATGTTGAGCTTGGAATTGGAAAGTGAGACTAAAATAAGGAATTGAATGTGTATTTTTATAGTGGTTAATTATATTTTTACATGCTTTTAGTGAATATAATGTTGCCAATTTTTTATTATAAATGCACCCAATAGAGGCTTACATACTTGTGAATTTGTTTCGAATTATAAATAGTTTATAAAGAATTCCACAAGTGTTAAGTTTGATAGAAGCTTAGTTCAATTTGTACGAGTTATAAAAAATAAATGCCAATATAATTTGAAATGTCTTTTTTTTACTATATTACTTTTTTTTATATTTTCAATAGCGAACAAGTTGGGGGGGGGGAAGGGATTGTTAGTAATGGAGACTGAGAATCCCATTGCTAGCAACATACCCAACCAGGTCGATCTCCTCGCGGTTCCCCCTGGAAACTATCATGATTAATTCCTGATGAATTCATCATGATGGGCTAACTGACCTGTTTTCATTCTCATCTATCACCCTTCACTGGTGCTCCGCCAGCGTATCCCATTAGCGCAGGTGGGGATTACCATACTATTTTTACCCATCAAAAAAAAATAGCTAACAAGCTGACGGCCCACCTACCCGTCAGGTAGTTCTAAGTTGCATAAAAAAATAGAGATACAAATGCAGAAAATAGTTTAAACAACATTAATCTATGACTACAAATAAAAATGCTAATATCAGATTCTTATTTTCTTTTAATTACAAACAGTAAACAAGACAATAACGACATGGCCGAAAGATTAATGTCGCAAAATGACAATATTAGAAATTTAATAATAAAAAAACCTCTCAATGGATATGAAACATTAAACAATGCTAGAAAACTGAAGTTTTACAGGTATTTAAAACACACGAGTACAAAATATACAAACGGATGGAATTAAATTGAATAACCAACAAACTAAAACATTTTGCTTCGATTATAGTCAGCATGTTTTCATAAGTGGATACAATTATGAACTAAAGGAATGTTTTTAATGAATCATTTGTAACAAATTCTTAGAAATCCCATGCAGATATTGCGACGGAAGTTGGCCGAAGTCGCTACACCCGAACTCGGCGTTACATCCAAAGTCGCTATAGCCACATGAATTTTGTACTAAAGTATGCTTTAAATTCGAGGGACTTAGATTTAACATCACAAGGTCGTAATAAATGAAATCCACAATATATATATATATATATATATATATATATATATATATATATATATATATATATATATATATATATACTTTTTAGTATGTTATTTGTGTGCTGTAATTTGAATAAATTATGTACCTATCTATCTATATATTGGTCAAATAAACATTTTATCAAAATCGGGTCAATATAAAATTTTTGGTTGAACAAATGAAATCGTATTTTTATGTAACACAATTTTAACCCTTTGCACTCCGCGCACTGACTCGGCGTCCTAACACTTAGGTAAGCGAAATCGTCTGTGTTCATCTTATAGTGCTTATGGTATGATCTTTTTGTTGTTGGCAACGTTTTTTTTCTTTCACATGTTCATTATGTTTACATTATAATAAGTCAACGAGTTATTGGTATCCTCTATTAGTTTGTAGGCTGGAGTAATAAATTAATAATGACATTTCGAGACATTAAAGTTCAATTAATAATTTTGCGAACATCGCATTTTATAAAAATAATCTTAATATTTTAACAGAAACCATTTTGACATTTTTGATGTGGTAACATTTAATGTAAAAATTCAAAAGGAATTACAAAATGGTAAACTGATGGTAGAATGTCACATAAATTGACAGTTGAAATTATACTATGGGGTTTCTTTTCATATAAAATTCAATTTCAATGAAGTCGAATTTTAAACGAATCTCCCATTTTATATGACAGCAATTAAGAATCTTTACGAACATTACAGAACTATTTTTAAAAATGTACAACTAACATTAATATATACGTAACAAATTACATTTAGGAAATAAATCAACAGTCTTCAAAAATATATGTTGTTATGTATAATACACATACAACGTCTCTATATAGAGGTATCACTTTTTACAATTTAAACAATATCTATTTATTTATGAGTAAAAACTACTTGAACACGATTTATCGAAAGTGCCAAAAAACAAACAGGGAAAAAAGGAACGAAAATAAATTTTAAACAAAAAATAAATTGTAACTTATCACTTTCAGTAAACAATTTATGTAAATTTTCATATTAAACTGATACAAATGTTATTAATGGAAAAAGTATGAAAAAAATCTGTTCTGGAAAATATATCAAGTTATTAATACTAGAAAAATTGTAATAAAAAATCCACACTTCGAAATTTTCTTAGGAAAAGTTGTTCTTTGTCTCATTACTAAAATAATCAACGGTTGCCACAACTACTTATTGGTGATTTTGCCGCAATCTCGTAAATACAATCAGTTTTTTCTATGCCGTTCCGTTTCACGCTGTATACTGAATTTAATAATTTACAATTTACATCAAAAAGTTAAATGTACAAGTATTAAATATACGATTAGACATCTTACTACAAAAGGGTGTCTTACATTTGTTTATGTCTAAACAAAAGGACGTATGTCTTTTACGAATAGATGCCTATATTAATAAATGCTATTAGTGTAATCTAGACTTTGGCAAATAAAGTTGCATACACTACTCCGACCAAAACTAGATTGAATCACTTTCGCTACACACTTCTTATATAGACACGAGTTCTAAAAAACTAACACGTATATAAATTACAATAAGGTTTAATTTTCATTAATTGGTAGCATTTAAGGGGGGGGGGGGGGGGATTCAGAACTAAAAAATTTGTACGTGCGACGTGACTGGTGGGTGCCTTAAGAACTCCTCCAGTGTCGGACCATTCCTCCCCAATGGGTCTTTGGGGAACATTATCATATCGTTGACCCACGTGAAGGGCAGTACTCTAGTTTCTATAACGGACCGCCATCTTGGATTCTCGTGGAGCAGGTCTCTATAGTTATCACCTGACACAATGATGCCATCAAATTCTGCGGCGCACTGTACTATGTATCTGGAATTGAAATATGGGTAAGGTTTATTAAAAAAAAATACGTATAACCTAGTGAAAAAAAAAAAAAACATCGTTACGACTATATTTCTTCATGGAGTAGTCAAAGGCATTAGCCAAGTATATTTAACAATCGTGTGGTCCTCAAAGAATCAAAGGTCACGTAAGTAAAGGTAAAGTTCCCGCCCTGCTGTGTTTAGTTAAGATAGTTTGTTTATTATAAGGTTTAATAATTGCCAATTTAGCAATGCACGTAATGGGTTAACGTGTCACTCCACAATTTCCATCTTTTGTTTGTTATGTTAGTATACGAGTATAAGTTCATATTTGTGTCGTACTTATAATTAGTTATTAGTTGCAAGTCAATTGTTAATCAGTTGAAATATATGTCATTACCAACTTCGTCGTATCAATTCATTTGGTAACATAGGAGTAAAGGTAGTAGAGGTAGTAGTAGCAATAGTAGAGGTAGTGATAGTAGTAGTAGGGGTAGTGGTAGTAGTAGGGTTAGCGATAGTAGTAGTAGCTGTAGTAGAAGGTAGTGATAGTAGTAGTAGCGGTGGTGGTAGTAGTAGGGGTAGCGGTAGTAGTAGAGGTAATGATAGTAGTAGTAGGGGTAGCGGTAGTAGTAGTAGCAGTAGTAGCAAGGGTAGTGGTCATAGCAGTAGGGGTAGTGATAGTGGTAGTACCAGTAGGGGTAGTGATAGTAGTAGTAGAAGTGATAGATAGTAGTAGTAGAAATAGTGATGTGTAGTAGTAGGTGTAGTGGTGGTGATAATAGTACTGGTTGTGGTAGTATTAACCTGTCATCATAAGACGCGACTCGCCGCCCCTGTATCTCCCTGGAAGGCGTGTAGACCACCAGCCCCTGTCTTTCCAGATCATCCAGCAGCCTTGGGTCGGAGCTCATACCGAATTTACACCTGTGGAGCACACCACGCCGTACGGCCACCAAACGTAAACCATATGTTTCGTTCCATTTACCTCTATCGACACATTAAACAGTTTTAAATATTAAGTTTTTTCAGTTTAGTGGCCGTACGTTAAAAGAGATTATGTTAAACCTTTTCGATACTTCTAATATCTGGCTGTTATAACATCGATTTATTAAGCAATATAAAATGACCAGTAAATTGACGGGCCACAAAACGGTGACCGTTACACGCTGTTCATGTCTAAATATGAACCGCATCATCATACCACAGAAAGGGCTGTGATGCTCACGGTACCACTTCAGCTTTGCCAATTATTCTTGGTTAACTTACATATCCGACACGCCTGCCTCCCTGTTGTGGTAGGCAGAAACATTGAGACGCTTAATATTTTGATTCAAAACGGACCTCTTTCGGTTTCTCCACATTCATCAATGTTGTCATACATGCTCGCCGCATGTGTTCCTGGCATACAATAGGCCAGCCCTTCCTTTCCCGTGGGTGTAGTAAGAGACGACTAAGAGAACTTACGATCGAGGGATGGGCAGCAGCGTACCTCTTAAAATATCTATGAAAGTTTAACTGCGATCGCCAACCTGCCTGCCAAGCGTGGCAACTACTGGCAAAACCTATCTTCTACCTATGTTCAGCAGTGGACAGTTAGTGGTTAATATAATGATAAACGCCGGATTTTGGCCCCTTCTTCGGTACGTCACATATCTGGTCAACATACGTCCGTCTAGGGCAACCCTTATCTACATCTCTATCTATTCGTGCTTGGTAAATCTTCTTCGTAATTCTTCTTTCATGCATTCTCTCCAAATAATCCAACCAAAGCAACATTACCTTCTCTATTCTTGTCACTACATGGTCTATACTACTTTCGATTTACTTTTTTTAATGAATTTTTTTATTCAACTTAGAATGGCAAACAAGCTGACGGCCCACCTGATGGAAAGTGGTAACCGTCGCCTATAGACATGAGCAGTACCATGGACATAACAGAGTATACTGTTTCAGCCAAGATACCCCCCATGCGGTGCCATTCCTGAGGACTCAGGTGTTATTTCTCTGTTCCCTGTAAATTCACTGCCATATCTCACCATTCAAACCGAAACACAGCCATGCAAACATAACTACTTCACGGTAGAAACACGAATAGGACAGAGGTGCCCAAGCAAACGACTTCTGTACAAAGTCTCCCTCCCTTGAATGAACATCCTTCTTTTTGTACATTAACTGTCAGAAAAATTGCTATATATGATAGAGGTAATCAAATGTACAAAAGCGAGCTTAACTCTAAAAGAGTTCTCTTCCAGCAACACCCAAAGTGGAAAGGAGTATCAATGTCAGCGAGTAGAGCGGTGTACAATATATAATGATTTTTTTATGTGCAAGTTCAACATGCGCATGCGCACACCGCAATTTATAGAACCTTACGACAGTAGGAGAATCGCCAATGTATTACCGACCTTTAAAATGGTAAACAGCCACTTCAACCCAAACGACCAGCACAGTCCATTAACGCTTGCAACATTATATAGGCCACTAGATGTCTTTAGCCCTTCTTTGCATGTTTTTTTTTTTATTGATAAATTAAATCAAGGTGATATAATTCATGTTTAAAATTAAAGAAAAAAATTATTATAAAATAAATTTGACAGCTACGTTTTTTTTCTGCAATGGACATTAAAAAGGTATCTAGACACGATCAACTTAAAGTGGACTTGTTCTTTTAAATAATTTTTGGGCATTCAATGTTATGATGGAAATTTTCACCATTATGCAAAGAAGGGTTAAATCATTCGTTTTTTAATATAGGCAACTGCGCTGGCAAATAGTATATGGCTGATGGAAAATGATTACTGTAGCCAATGGACCGATTTTGAAGAAACCTTATTATGCACTTTTTGAAAAACCTATGCTGCTTGGGACTCTGGGAAAAACTTTGGCAGGACGGTCATTCCACAGTTTGAGCATTGCGGGGGGGGGGGACCTCTCTAAAACCGTACCGAGACTAATATGGTTTAAAGACCATATATGTTCTAGCGTATGAGGATCAATTCCCTATCGATGGTGAGCGGTGTGATGACAAAAGAAGACTGTGAGTTAAAACCCATAGCCACCATTACATACAGGTGATATAATATCAAACAATTCCTCAGAACGCAATCCCTTATACAAACACTAATTCAGAAACAAAAATACACAGCAAAGACATGGAAAAGAACGTTTCCACGAGGTCCGTTCAAACTGTAATAATTACCTGAATCTTGGCACAAACGCCCTGACCACATGACCCCTTTTCAGGAAATAGTCAATACAAATTTTCAGGGCTTTCACTGAAAACTTCTTGCCTTTATTATATCTGTAACATTAAAAATTAATAAATACACAAGTATATAGATCAGTGTAATGGTTTCTCAAACATTTTTATGTCGTGACCCAAAAAAAAAACAAAGCCAAAAAGTAAAACGTCTTGCGACCAAATCACTATAGTAATGAAATTGAAGTCCTTTTCCTATATTTTTATTGTTTTTTTTTTTTTTGCTATATTCGCGTCAACTCGTGCTGTTCATGTATTAATGAATAATTTTAGCTATTAGTAGAAGCGTGGGGGAGTATCATGGGCGAAACATTATACTCTGTTATGTCCATGTTACTGCTCATGTCTATAGGCGACGGTTACCACTTTTCATCAGGTGGGCCGTCAGCTTGTCTGCCATTCTAAGTTGCATAAAAAAAAGCATACTCTGAATGAAATTAATAATTGAATAATTTGAAAATCATTCGAATAATCCAAATGAATTAAACGATTATTTCGAGGTCTTATTATTTTTCATTGGGACCCTCTTTATAATAACAAATGCAACCCCTGATTGAGAAACAATTTACTAAGGAAGTGGTAAACAGATTATTAATATAATAAATAAAAAAAAAATTGTAATGAGGGTAGGCCAGTACTAGATTGTTGGTGGGAAAAGTATTGTTAGCAATGGAATTTGACAGCCCCATTGCTAGCATATTGCTAGCAATCAACGTCTCGTCTTTTTTTTTATGGGTGAAAATGGAATGGTAACCCCGCCTGGGCTAACGGGATACGCTGGCAGAGCACCAGTGAAGGGTGATAGATGAGAATGAAAACAGGCCAGTTAGCTCATCATGATGAATTCAACAGGAATTAACCATGATAGTTTCCAGGGGGAACCGCAAGGAGGTCGACCTGGTTGGGTATATTGCTAGCAATAGGATTCTTAGTCACCGTTACTAACAATCCCTTTGCCGCTAATATGCCCTATTAAGTCGACCTTCACGTGGTTCCCCCTGGAAACCATCGTGAACAATTCTTGTTGAATTCGTCATGATGGGCTAACTGACCTGCTTCATCCTCACCTATCATCCTTCACTGGTGCCCCGCCGGTGTATACCGGTAGCGCGGGTGGGGTTACCATTCCATTATCACCCATTAAAAAAAGTACTAGGTTGTTATAAGTTGGAGAAGTGAAAGATGGTGTGATTATCAAATCTATCGGTGAATAAATTTTTGTTATCATATGGGAGAATAACATGACGGATGTTGTAAATAAATTTAGAATTGTAAAGCAGCTGCAGCAGAAGTAGTTTGGAAGTATATATGTAATATGTTTCTACTATATATATATATATATATATATATATATATATATATATATATATATATATATATATTATTTCGTAAAAATCGTGGCAAGATAACCATGGGTGATTCTATATTCTATATATAAGAAATTTAAAAATTATTTCTATGTTACTCAAACCTTTGCCAATTCTTAACCGATTTTGATAATTCTTTTTGAAATCGGGTAGATTAGGGTATTATTTCCGTATCATCATTTATGGAGCAAAATATTGCTCCTCTTTATCTTGGGAGGTCTGGGGTGGTGGGTATACCACCTCCACAGACCTCCTTGGCGCTGTATGCCGACGATCTACTTTGTTCAACGACATTACCCCGTCAAACTACACCTGCGTGACTTGCGTTTTCCAATAGATAATAATGGAATGGTATCCCCGCTTGCGTTAACGGTATACGCTGGTGGTGCACCAGTGAGGGATGATAGGCGAGATGTAAGAGCAGGTCAGTTAGCTCACCGTGATGAATACACCTGGAATTCAGCACGATGGTTTCCAGGAGGCACCATGTGGAGGTCGACCCGATAGTCCGCAATACTAGTAATTCCTTTCCCCCTCCGATCACCGTCACCTACTTGGGATGAACATAGATCGACGGCTCAACTTTAGCGCTCACGTCAAGGTACTGTACAACAAGACCAGAGTGGTCAACCACCTTCTGCGTCCAGCGTTGACAGCAATACTCCCTCTCCATACAAAGACGGCCGTCTTTAAGACGTACATTCGCTCGCGACTCACATACGCGGCGCCGGCATGGTACATCTACATTTCAGAAACCACCAAAAGCTCCCAACTCAGTTAAGTCTCATACTGCGTACCACTGCCGGCGCGCATAAGTATGTAAGGAACGCCACCTTGGAGAGGGACCTACGCATCCTTCCGCTGCACGACTTCATCGGCAGCCTGGCTACTAAGATGTTCGCGCGCATGGATGCGTCGACCTGGGATCACCTCAAGGGCCTAGTGCCTCTGCACGCACGACCTCTAGACCACTGTATGTAGTCACTATAGAAATAAATACAGTGTATAATTTCATACACAATATATAGAACGTCCAAATTAAAACAAACAAGCATTATACTTATTTATAAATTTTGGTAATGTGCGGGTATCAAAACCACGACCATCGAAAGGTGAGGTAGAGTTTTTAACAGCTGTACCTACAAAGTAATTAAATAAAGTGATATGTTTTTTTACAATATAGGGGGCATACGAGCATGCGGCTCACCTGATGGTAAGTGACTACCGCCGCCCATGATCACCCACAACACCAACGGCATTGCAGGTGTGCTGCTGGTCATTTAGGCTATTTTTTTAATAACCTATATATATATATATATATATATATATATATATATATATATATATATATATATATATATATATTTTCGTACATTTTAATTTCAGAAAAAGAAAACTCAATGAAATAAACAACCTCTAGATAGTGTATCAGGAGAAAACACACTAGATTTTAAGTTAGACCTGAAGTCACAAGTGTAAAAACCGCATCTAATTCGATGCCGTGATGTCATACGTATATATATATTCTTTATTGCACTTGTAAATTACAATGTTAATGCATTTATAAATATTGTGAGCAAGGGTGGACTTATCTCTGACAGAGATCTCTTCCAGTCAACCCAATGCAGTTAGAAAACATGTTGCTAGCGGGCAGCTGAAGTGCTACAACTATTAATATTTAGTGTACATAAACATAGACAGACAAAACTTATTTTTTTTTATGCAGCATATATGATTGTTTTGGCATTTATTAATCTTACTAAGACCCTTTATAATATTTTTTTTTTAATATCTCATATGATGATGTACAGACATATTTATTAAATTTGTTGTTTTCACCTTCTCGACTTATGTCGGCTTAAAAACATACCCCGTCCTGTAACCCACAGGAAAAAAGGTACATATGCCCCAGTTTTTTTTTTTATGTCCGTTTTCTACCTCGCCTTCTCTTTTATATTTATTAATATGAGAAAGTTGTAACCAGACGATAATTTTATTATATTAATAAACCAATTTGCAAAATTCTTGTTTTATTTACTTTCAGTTTGGTCACATGGAAATTTTATCAAAATCGATTCAGTAGTTTAGTTTTTAAATAAAAATAAATGCTTTATTATTTTTATTTAAAAACTAGTTATTTGTGGAATACAATGTAAAATCTTCACGACTCTGGAACGCGCTTCCTGATGCCATTAAGAGACTACCGACTAAACCGTCTTTCAAAAAAAGCGTTCACGCTCACTTTTTATTTTTATCCGAGCAGTAAGTACTTTATATTATTCTCAATTTCGTGTATAATATAGTATATGTCATATATGTGTAAGTATATTTGTTATTCATATATATTTATTCGTTTATATATGTAATCTTAGTATGTATGTATATCAATAATTACTAGTACCTCATTCGAGTATTCTGACACTTCCCTATGGTTGACTGGGAGAGAATGGTTTTAGCATTAAGTCCGCCATGTACACATACTCGTATGTACTAATGAATAAATAAATAAATAAAATTATTATATATTCTTGGTATATGTATCTATCTACCCATAGATTTGTTAACCACTTTAATATTATAAATACGAAAGTTTGTGATATTAATCTTGTACACAAAAATTATTGAACAGGGAGACATTGTACAAAAGTCGTTTGCTTGGGTACCTCTGTCCCATTCATGTTTCAACCGTGAAGCAGTTGTGTTTGCATGGCTGTGTTTCGGTTTGTATGGCGTGAATTTACTGGGTACAGAGGAATAACACCTGAATCCTCAGGAATGGCAATGCATGGGGGGTATCATGGGCGAAACAGTATACTCTGTTATGTCCATGGTACTGCTCATTTCTATAGGCGACGGTTACCACTTTCCATCAGGTGGGCCGTCAGCTCGTTTGCCATTCTAAGTTGTATAAAAAAAAAGGATCGAATGAAATTTGGCACATGGATAAAGTTTGTTACTCTTTCATGTAAAAACTGTTGAACAGATATGAATGAAGTTTGGCACATGAATAAGTTATATACAAACTTAAAGGACGCTTTATATACTGATCTATGCAGGTGAATCCGTGGGATAAAGATTGTAAATAATAAATATGATTAAAATCACCAGAGGGAGACTTTGTACAAAAGTCGATTACTTGGGTACCTCTGTCCCATTCGTGTTTAAACCGTGAAGAAGCTGTGTTTGCATGGCTGTTTCGGTTTGAAGGGTGGGATATGACGTGAATTTACTGGGTACAGAGGAATAACACCTGAGTCCTCAGGAATGGCAATGCATGGGGGGCATCATGGGCGAAACAGTATACTCTGTTATGTCCATGGTACTGCTCATGTCTATAGGCGACGGTTACCACTTTCCATCAGGTGGGCCGTTAGTTTGTTTGCCATTCTAAGTTGTATAAAAAAAAAAGAAATGGACATATGAGCTGATTTCTTATCCTGTGGGAGAAATATTAAACTCTTCATCCTGGTGGTGTCGCTAGGCTGCATACTCACTCCATAGCCACATTGCTACCATCAATAATAATCATTCTCAATCCAGTCTTGTTTTTGGAGTCTCTCATTGGGTTGTATATATTGCTACCTATACTGTTCCTGGAGGTGGACTGGCCAAGTATAACCTCCTTTATATAGGTATCCTCCACAGTTTCAGTTGCTTGGTTTTCACGGTCCTGAAAATAAAAAAAAAATGTTATTAGTCCGCGACTGCGCCTGTATGAATTACTACATAAAGTATCCTATCCTAGTACTAAGTTAGGGGGGGAAAGGGGTTGTTAGTAATGGGGTCTAATCGCCCCATTACTGGCAATATACCCTCTCAGGTTGACCTCCACGCGGTTCCCCCTGGAAACCATCATGTTTAATTCTTGTTGAATTCATCATGGTGGGCCAACTAACCTCTTCTCACCTATCATCTTCCACTGGTGCCTCGTCGGTGTATATCAATAGCGCGGGCGGGTTACCAATCCATTTTCACCCATTAAAAAAAAAGTACTAAGTTAGGATATACCCTACACATATACTAAATTTAATTCCAATCTGTTTAGCAGTTTTTGCATGAAATATTAACTAACATCCATCCATCATTGCAAACTTTCACGTTTATTATATACATGGGATGACATTAATGGTTTCTCTTGGAAACCATTGGTGAATTACTCTTGTGGAGGTCCACAAGAATAATTCTCCGGAGTTAATATTTCACTGCTGCCCCGCCAGTGTATACTGATAGCACAGGCTGGGTTACCATTATCATATATTAAATAAAAATCCTGGAAGAAATACAGTTAGCTTGGGATCAGTCCCAGGATGAGGGACCAGCCTACTATACTAGCAATATCCAAAAGTACAGCTTTCTGCATCTTTCTTTATTTTATTATTATTATTAATTAACTTTATTAAAGTTGAAAGTTAAAGTAAAGTAGTTGTTTGCATGACTGTATTTCAGTTTGAAATGTGGGGTATGGCAGTGAATTTACAGGGTACAGAGGAATAACACTGAAGTCCTCAGGAATGGCAACACATAGGTGTATCATGGACGAAACAGTATACTCTGTTATGTCCATGGTACTGCTCATGTCTATATATATATATATATATATATAATACATTGCTATATCTATTGCCTATAGGCAACGGTTACCACTTTTCATCAAGTGGGCTATCAGCTGGTTTGCAATTTTAAGTTGCATAAAAAAAGCTTGTTTGCCATTCTAAATTGTATAAAATAAAAGAGAAGGTAAAGCCAAATATCTGTGCAACTTACTTTAATATTTAGTAGACGTGTCACCTTCTTTGGGACATTACAACCGTTGCATATGCTCTGGGTAATCAGTTCTAGGAGTTTTCCTTTGTCCGATGCATCCAAATTTGCAATACAACTAGCAAAATTGAACATTTTCTTTTTATTGTATTTATTTTCTAAAATGGTAACATCTGAATCACCACTCATTGACAAATTTGCACTGGTGGCCGTCACTAAAGTGCAATCTTGATTGTCTGTGGTATTTGCCAAATCTATAATGGTGTTCACATGGCTATCTGTATTGGCTTTGGGTGTATCCATTGTGAGATCAATAGTTAAGAAGGAATCACTGTTTATTTTCTTTGTTACATTGCAATTTTCATTTATATTAATGATAGGTGAGGTGGTAGTAGATAATGGTGTTGAACAACTTTTAGGATTTTGTATACTTTTTGGTGTACAACAGTTCTTGTGGGGTACTGTAACATTGTCTGTATCATCATTGATGATTATAGTGCTGATTTTTCTTTTCTTAGATACACTCATATTTGTATTTGATAATTGTCTTTTGTTGCTACACTTTAAGCTGTCATCGAGTACAATAACACTGTTATTATTAGATGCATTGATGGAAACACTATTATTTCTAGACAGCATCGTAACATTAGTACTATCTTCGGAATGATTTAAACTAGAGTCGCTTTCATTACGTAGACGTTCAAATAATTTCTTTATCTTGATTTCTGTTTTTCTTCTCGTTCTTTTGTCTTGCATTTGTATCTTTACAGCACTCATCGATTTCTTTCGCACAAACAAACTTTTTTCTTTTTTGTTCGTGATGGATCTGTTAGATTTCTTACTGGATGGCGTTGTATTGGTCTGATCTTCTAGTATAATTTTCTTATCCTGATACAGAATAATAAGTACAATAAGTAGATAAAGCTAGATGATTTTTATTAGACACTCTTTATTGTTTTCTCCAAAAAGATTACAATAGTAGACTTATTGTAGATATAATTATGAGAAATCATAATAGTGAGAAAATAATGGGTGACCTTATTGCGTAAAGCGATCTCTTTCAGACAACCTTTGGATGGAGAGGATGTGATGGTCCCCCCCCCCCCTGTGTGTGTACCCCTTTATATATTAACTACCTTCTAAACTAACCTACACATGGAAAACCTACAAAGCCTAAGAAAAGCCTACGAAGGCTTTACCTAATGAAATCTATGAAAATATAATGAAAATCTACCCTAAAGAAAGGCCTAACACCCTCAATATAGCCCATACCTATATTACCTTATACACCCTAAACATCTTATGAATCTTAAAAAACCTTACAATAAACACATAATATTGAACAGATTTTATAGTAGAACACTTGATCATTTGGCCAGATAAATAAATGTGTGATCGTCTAGTAATGTAGGACCCGTTGTGTGTGTAATAACCAAAAGGTTCTTTAATTGGTATATGATAGGAGTTAAATAATAAAGATAATTGATAAAGCTTTAAGGATTAAGAATAATTAATGAATTATACTCATTATTCGTGCAACTAGGAAGTTGTTAATTTAATATTAAATTACAGAATAATTGTAATAAAAAAAATGGGGGAGCGGTCGGGCCCCTCACACGCCCGGACCAGTGGAAGACTTTCCAACTATCTATAACTCTTCCTCCAAAAAGGTAGGGAAGGGTATAACTATTTATTAATGCACTCTGATGGTAATAAGGGAATGAGTATTCTCAGTTCCAAACCAAACATAAGTACATTTACTTCAACATTACAGTGGCTCCACCAGCCCCACGATGCTTCCAGTATAAATTAGTTTTGCCAGAGGCAAAAGGATCGGAACTGAAATCCCAGGATCACTCCGACACGAGAGCTTACTCATGGGCGATGACCCTTTCAGTCCTATATGGCGACATAGAGATCACCCACTAACAGTACGAAACTGTTTCCCAGCGTCACCCTGTTACGAGCTTACTCAATGGGGGTTTCCCTTCGGCTCCACAAGAGATCAGACCAAGAAGCGAGATCACCCAGACACCAGAACCTACTTTGTTGGGACATAAACCTTCGGCCCTATAATGTGACATTAGAGATCACCTGTGAAGACAGTCCGATAGAGATGAAGATTTGTGTGATAGGGGATACCTTCCACACCCTGGAATTGGCCAAGCCATATAATGTTGATAATTGCTATATCATAACATAGCATTGTCAATTTAATATTATTTACTTAATACCAAGAATACTCAAGGTTCAAGTTAAATCTGTTGATTAGGCCGGAGCCTAAAAACGAGTAGTCCAACCCATAGGTCGAGAGCTACTAAAAGTAATGAGTGCTATTGAATGAACTATAAGTCCAGTCAATTATATTATTGTGTATTATTGTTGATTAACCACATTGTGAATTAACCAATTATTTATTCAAAGAGATATATCTAAAGGAACTATAAGTCCTTTAAAAGACACTGATTAATCACAAGTTAACAACGTCTCGTGAAATAACCAGTTGGGTTTTCTATAAGTTTGAGGACACTAAGTCCAACAAGCTATTATTGTGTTGAGAGTAATAGAGATCTTTTGTAATATTTGTAGAGGTTTGATTAATCATATTGTGAAATAATCAGATTAAATAATTATGTAGCTTTATAGAGAGGACTATAAGTCCTAATTGGTTGTTGTCATAAGTACTGATAAATTACACATTAAAGTGCCAGGTCAATTATTATATATATAGGTATATAGGAAGGACAATAAGTCCTATTTGTGTATGTTGTAGTAGTAGAGGCAATATATTGCATAATTATAATGTGAAAGATATAGATTAAATATATATTTGTATAGAAAGGACAGTAAGTCTCATACAATTGTTGTAGCTGTACTATAGTTACACTATATCTACTTCCTTTTAGTGTCTTAGTAAACCTATTTACTAAAAGGATTTCTCAGATAAACAAGTGTTTTAGTGTTTAAATCATCATGATTAAATCCCTAAGAAATTAGGTCTTTAAATAATTATCATATCATTTAAGTGAAATTTCTCATATAAATAATTCCAATATTTCCCCTACAGTTATTATAAAATAACAGAAAATTATATAAATTTTCTATAGACTTAGATATAGAATCATAACGTGTATAATCTCCTTTTGTTTGACATCTGTCACATTAATGACGTATTGAATGACGTATTGATGTATTGAATTGAATTTTGATTATCTATCACAACTGTCAACGTAACAAATACTAGCAAGTTTGTTTATTTGTATTTGTTTAATATAATTAAATATAAAATCATCATATATCAACCGTAATATATAACTAAATTATCAGTGATATAAATAATCAAGGTTTACACCAGTAATAATTAATAGTATCCAGTAATACTGCAGTTTTATATTCATATCAGTAGCCAAGCTTACTCTCAAATTCAAGAATGAACAGAAGATTAGAAGTTTAACATTCTTATTGCAATTGTACTTGCAATAATATATACACACAGTACTAATTATCAAGAACATTCCTCAAATACATGTGTGGTGAAGATTTCCCAATATGCTATCTATTTGATTTCTAACCTCTAATGTAAATTTATTAAAGAAGTGAATAATCAGTGTTAATGTTTGCTTTATTAATATTTAAAGTAATTGTCCTAACTTGATATTAATAGGATAATATCTCCTTGGATACAGTCCGACATAAACATATAACTCAATAATTAAATTTATAAAATACTAATATTATATTTTACTACTTGTATATCTCCATACTATTCCCATAAAATATTCAAAACATGTATATTAAATATAAATCCAGTAAATATTCACTAATATTAACCCTGTCTGAACTTGTCTAGTCAATATAACATGAACAAACAACACACATACAAACCTTATCGCCAGGACAACTTCCTTTCTAAATATGAGTAAAATACATAACTCATACTTGTCATTTAGTACTAATTTTATACTGTACCTCATACCTAGTTAAGAATAACTATAGTCAGAGAATCCTTTAGTACATTTATTACCATTAGGAAATAAATCCACACCCATAATATCAGCATAATTAAATATTATTAGAAACCAGTAATACATACAGAATTGTTATTATCAGCTTGCTTACTACAATAAAATCAATATTAAAGTTTATAATAAATCAAGACAAAATATCTATTTACACAATACAGGCTTGTTTACCATAAACACCCCACAGTCACATGAATTTATCTACTAACACAATAATGTATTAAAAGTATTACATCCGCATAAAATCACTTACAACAGTTAAACTGTCTCTTTGTACATCTGGTGTAAAACAAATCTTTACATGTAGTCATGGGTAATCAAATATAGACTTAAGAATCATTAGTCTGGTCGACCGAGTAATGGTATAAAAACACTTCACCATGAAGCGTTAAGTATGAACAGATATTCCAAACCAACACTGTAATAGTGTAATAAATACAAATATTTCATCATCATCATCGTCTCAACCATCACCAATCCACGACTGAACACAGGCAATTTCCCACAGACTAACACAAGGAACGGCCCCACAATATACATAAAACAGTCACTCCAAACAATGGAGGTAACCCACACCGCACTTGCATTTACAGGGTCGCCACTCAATAACCCCTCTCTCTCATCAATGGCTGTTTCCCCAACAATGAGACCAGACCATAGTCACTTTAGTCTATTATCCTCAATAAATAAATACTTTATAATAACTAGATATGAAACTAGTTAGTATTGTAATAGTTCAATAGTTGATTCAATAAGTATTTTCCAAACTGGACAATTAGAACATTGAATCAAATTGATGAAGTTCTATCAAACGACCATATAATTGGATTTTTTATATGAGTAGAATAACGTAAGTACGTAAATTATATTGATGTAAACTTTGTTCAAATGTGATTGCATTTAACGATATACGCATTACCTAAAGGTATATGGACTCGACTAAATACGTATTTTAATAGTTGTTGGGAAAAATATTAAGTATAGACTTTGCCTGTGATCACAGTCAAAAATCTAACTACGTAGTAATAAATGGAACAAGCTCACCGGATTCTCCAGTCTTCTATTGATTAATTTCACACACTTAATCCATAGTGATACACTAAGATCTCAAACCCCTTCATCGAACCAGTCCCTCCTAGATCTATATCCTAGTTATTTTTTTTATTTTATTGCGCAGTTCCTTAAAACACGACTCCTGCGCCATTTTTTTTTTCTTTTTTTCCGCAATTCCTAAAAAGCGACTCCCGCGCGCCCGCCGATCTGCCGGCCCTCCTTTTCTTTCTATTTTTTTTTTCTCACCTAGTAACGTCATAGATTATGTCACCGAAGGGTAGATATTTCAATAATCGGATTTAGCCTATTATTCGAACTGAACTTTTCTTTAAATTCAATTTAATTATATGTTAACGTATTTTGGTATTTTATATTAAATTGATTATCGAATTTATAAAACTTTAAAGGCTCTCATAACCTTATTAAACTGTGTTGTATGTATCTTTTTTTTTACACCTGATGATAAAAAGGTAAACTATAATTTGGTTATATATAAAATATAATATATTTTTGTTTAATTTATTTAATTTTCTTGTGACATCCACTACACTTTGGAAACACATCAAAGGAGTTTCCCTTCTGTGTCAATATTTCATATATGATAACGTCTTCTCTGTATACTATTGTGAACCTTGACTTTGAAGTTTGTTTATATTAAATAGCTCAGCTTTCGCAGCGGTCACCCATAGGAACCCCTGTTTCTTTTCTATGTACTTATATGGTATTAAACCTATTGTACTATAGGCGAACCGTCACATCCGGCCCCTTAATTATCAAGGAGTTTACCGGATTGATAATTACAAATATTCTGTT